CAAAGGAAAACAAACGCATGGACTGACCCCATTGCTGCTTTTCTTCCTTTTTCCTTTGTGTGAAAACCAGTTCACGGCAGCCGTGTGACTGCTCCTTCTCTAAGAAAGCTGCAGTTGGTCCCTATGAATGTGCTGGACCTGATGTCAAGGAGGTGACACACGTTTAAAATTAATTGCCTGTTTTCCAGACTGCAGCTGTAACGAGGCAGGCCCAGGAGCTTACTTGGAAAGGGAGATCCTCTGAGCAGCCTGTGTCTTGGGAAAAGCGTTTAGAACAATGGCTGCTCTATTCTTTAATGTCGGGCTCCGTCTTGCTCCCTCTGAAAGCTCTAAGAATGGGACTCAATCTTTTCAGCTTGTCTGTGGCACAGACATGCCAGCTTAAGTCTATTTATAGCCCTGAACCATTTAATTTTTCTTGCCTCCATTATCCATTTATCAGCCTTCAGATAGGATGCAGTCTCGTTACCAACGACCGCTTTCTGTAGCCTGGCCATCTGAGAGCCTCCTCAGAGAAGTGCAGCCTGTCCCCCTCTGGGAAATGGCAGTCTCTAGGTCAGAGATGAGGAATCCAGACTGTAGCTGCAACATTATAATGTCTTGCAATTAGTGCCTATTCAGATGCCTTGCAGCTCTCTTTTCTTTCATTATTTAATGTTGTTTCTCTTATACGTTTAGGCTTTTCAAATTTTCTCTCCAGCTGGTTAAATATTAAGGCTGGAGCACCAGAAAGGCCATTCTGTGTTCCTCACAGCCCTGAAAGTGAAAATATTTATTGTCATGGTTTGAAACTTGAGTCTGTTCTGAAACAAAACAAATGAAATTTGCTATTAAATAAATTTAATATCAAACTGATGTACATGTACACAAGTCACTTGATACTCATTAGATACAAGAAGACTATTGAAATGTCAGCTATGTTTTCTTTCTAAAGGCCAGAGCTTTCTTTTTGCGTGCAATAGGTCAGAAGCATTTTTCAGGAGAGTGCCAAATACTCCCAGGAGCATTGACTACCGGCATCGACCAGCTTTCACATTTATTTTAATTCTTTCAACTCAGAGCAAGTTAATAATGAAATTCTAATAAAATTCCACATGAGAACCAGCTACAGACACATTGCCGGCATACAAGGACATGAGCTTCCTCACGTAGAGCATTATTCATTTAGCTATTTTGTATAATTATTTTGAAACCAAAACAATGATGCCCTTGGCTGAGAGAACTTTTGGTTCTACAACCATCTATAAATGACACTTTGCAAAGGAAATCCCACAGATACCATCTTAATACAGATCCCATCTTCAGTGCTTAGTGACACGGTTTAATGGTGGCTTTTTATCAGAGTTAGGTTAATGGTTGGACTAAATGATCTTAAAGGTCCCTTCCAACCTAGGCAATTCTATGAGTCTGTGATTCTAATACTAACAGGACTTGAGGTCTTTCGCAGTAAGAGGTCTTGTCTGTCATATAGTGTGAGTAAAGAAGAGGAAGAAGCCTGCTAGACAAAACCCAAGCCAGCACGTAAAGCTCTGCACGAAGGATGCTAGGTGCTGTTTGCATGGCACGGCCTGGCTATCTCAGCAGGTAGAGCCCACCCCAAAGGGATGCTTGGGCTGCCCTTGGGTGGCAGGGGTAGCCAGCTGGCCATGTCACCAGTGCTGCAGGCAGTGATGGGGACAAGGCAACCCCACACACTGGCAGTGGGGCCTAGACACCCTTGTTTTTTTCTTCATTGCCGCGCTGCCCGCAGAAGTCCTCCGTACAGGGCTGCAGTTTAAAACTTTGCTAGTTTAAAACGTGAAAATCAACCACAGGTTAAAATGGAAACTCATTTCTGACCCTGGTTACAGGGGAAAGGGGAAAAAAAAATTAAAGTCCCGGTGCCCACATGTGTCCTGGCTGTGAGAGAGCCCCAAAGCTTGCTGACGTTCTCCTAGCTATCGTCAAAAACACAAACTGCAGCTCAACAAATGCCCCAGCTTCTCGTTCCCCGTATCGCTTGTTCTTTGCACTAATGCCAACCAACATCTGTTCCAGATAAGAACTCCAGAAATAATGAAAAACAAACTGAATGTAAGAGCAAAATAAATAATGCAAGGAGCGCGGATCAGACTCTGAATCTGTGTACTCAATTCAGTAGTAAGCTCAATATTTAGAGTACGGTTACATGCTAAAATGGGGAATGTCCTATTTTCCTCTACCTTCTTCCTTCCCCTCTCTTTTGCAACTCCTCTGGCTCTTGGGGAACTGATTCAAGTTACCAACCCAGTAGGAATCTAACGAAAAAAGAAAAGGAAAGAGGTTTCTGCTGGGTTACTGAGCTAAAATAGTCCCACCATATGGTCAGCTGAAGGGGGGCAGGGAGGGGGGCTGGGATTTCATGGCCAGGAGCAGCAGCGGCCATGGGAAGAAAGGAATAAGAACTGGCAGAAAACCTTATTCTCATCATCAGGTTAATTTTCTTCAGATTTATGTTTTAACTCAGGGTTGGGCCAAGTCCAGAACTGATGGAGGAGGGGCAGGACGTGGCACACCATGAGACTGGTGGTGGGGAGGGAGAGTAGGGACGTGACAACTGGTAATTAGTTTGGCCTGAGCTGTCTTGGAAATCCAGGTTTAGGTCCTTGGTGGTGCCCAGAGAGCTCTTCTTGCCAGAGAGCACAGTCTCAGGCTGTGCAGGGGTCTAGAGAGTCGAGTGACAGAATTCAGGTTGCCCTGGCTGCAAGACAAACAGCAGCACCTTCTGGCACATGAAACAAAAGGGCGGTGGTTTGGAAATTAATAGTTACTTAATAGAAAGAGAGCAAATATATATTCTCAAAGGGTTGTGATGTATATGAATTTCATATTTCTATAAATCATGCAGCATTTCTCTTTTGTTGGTGAATTGGCACTTTCCAAACAGGTGAAACAGGCGGTGACGTTGCTGAAACATGAAAGGCAAAGTCTTTCAAGGGTGGATTTTTAAAGTCAGGGATGAAAGGCCACACTTAAGTGCCTAAATAGGTGTGCAGTTTTCAGAAGTGCTCAACGCCAGAAGTTATCATCAATGGAAGCTGCTCTGAGTCTTGAGCCTCTGAAAATAGGGCATTGGGTAGGTGCTAGGACACTGGGCTTAACATACATTTTTAAGCACTTGGTCTGGATATGCAGCTCGCTATTTGATTGAATCAAAATGCTTAGAAAGCAGCAATAAGTTCTATTAGCCTGCTACGAAATAACTTTTGTTGTTAAGTAAACTTAACATTTACTTAAATTTGAAATTATTGATTCAAAGTATTTAATGCAATAATTTTAAGGAACAAGCAGAACCATTCTGGTCTTAACTGCACCACTCTGTTGACCTTCTCAAGCATTCAAAGCTGAATTGCCTTAACAAATGTTGCGATAGAAGCTTCCTATTAGATGTCTGACGTTGCAAGAGGATGCCATGATTTCCATTCTTTGGGAATAGGATGTCAGCCTGAAATCACTTGTGCTGCTTAGGACTAAGAAACATTTCATTCTGCCGCCATATAACTCTTAAGAAAACAGAATGTTCTGGAGGCAGCTGTGGGCAAGTACAACAGTAATGTGATTCATATTTGCCATTGTTTTTTCCAGTGCTGTTCCCAGCTTGAGAGGCAGGATGATGCCCAAGGCAATCCCCAGCTGGGAAAATCTGGGATCCAGTTCTTAAGACAAACCTCCCCCAAAGAAGACTTTAAGTTGGGGTAAGAACTTTTAGTCCTGCTTCTTTCTGAAGCAGCCTGAAATTACCAGTTCTTCTCTCTTTCTCTCTCTCCTTGGAATATCAGCTAAGATCTGCTTTGGTAAGAGAGTCCTGTCTGACACAATTTCGGTGTCGTGTACCTCGTCACGTAAAGAGGCCTTTGGAAACGCTTCACACACGGGTGACCCAGCCAAGTTTGCCACTTGTTTGACTGTAAACAAACATATGGCAGAGATACGTCTTTTTCAAGGAGACAAGCATGGAGGGAAAGACTGAATCATCTTTGAGTCTACATACATACATTTTACACATGTAAAGATTCAGTGATCTGGAGTTATTCATTGTACACATGATTAGGAAGAAAGAAGCCAACTCACGGCCATCTCTAGAGAGACAAACCTGGGGCTGGCTGTAGATCAGTAAATCTCAGACCCGCCTTCGTTTATGTGGGGGATCATTGACTGACTGACTGTGAAACACAAGGTGCCAAAAATTTGTGGTGATATCATATTCAGTCGTACCCTCTGAAGAGGTGGAAATTAGACTGAGTGGCATGGTCCTGAGTGTACAACTTGTGAACTGAGAGCCTGAGATCCCCTTATAGACCCTAGAGAGAGAAAGCCCTGTCAAGGCAATCAGCAGGGCCTCCAGAGCTGCCCAGCAGAGCAAGGGGGTCTGCTTCACTGTGACTTGGATAGCCCTTGAAACAATATGGACTCTATTGACTTCAAGCTGGAGGGGAACAGATTTAGACTGGAGATTAGGAGAGGGTTCTTCACTGTGAGGGTGGTGGAGCACTGGAACAGGTTGCCCAGGGAGGTGGTTGAGGCCCCATCCCTGGAGATATTCAAGGAGAGGCTCGATGAGGCCCTGGGCAACCTGGTCTAGTTGTGGGTGTCCCTGCTGACTGTGGGGAGGTCGGACTAGATGACCTTTGGAGGTCCCTTCCGGCCTGGGCAATTCTATGATTCTGTGACTAGATTGTCATGGCCCATAATGAGATCTTGAACATCTAGATTTTATCTGGCGCCTCCAAGAAGAGATTAAAATTTAGGTATGTTAATGTGAGAGCTGAAAGCCACTGCAGCTGCTGATGCTACAATACACTTCAATGGCACTTTACCATGCTTTACTGGGGCAACTTATTGCAAAACAAAGCTAAGGAGAAGCTTGTAGCTGATAGTGAGAGCCAAAAATAAATGCAGGTCATTGAAGGTGGGATCTAGCATTTTGTTCTGTGGAGTCTGTTCTCACTGAGGGTGGTGGTGGGCAGATAAAACTCTGTTACCTGCAGAAATTTCCGTCTGCCTCTGGCAGGGTCAGAGAAGCCACGGGATTCTTCAGGAGATCTGCCACAGTGTTATCCTTCGGCGTCACGTAAAAGAAAGGGATTCCAGTGCTATTGTTGACAGGACCATCACTGAGAAGTAAACAGTTCCCGTAGGGCATACCTTGGATCTGCAAAATCCAAATAAGCAACTGGTTACAGCTTTGCACATAGATGCTTTACAAAATTGGGAATTCCCTCAAGGTCTCTAGCAGAGAGGACAGCAACCCCCAGTCTCCCGCTTTACGTTGTCACCGAGAGACAGACTTGCTTCTAAATTGAATCTATCATGCTTCTGTGAAAACAGATCTCTCCTCTATTTCTTCTTTCCAGCCCTGTCCATGACAGTATAGAGAACATTTTCTCTTCCACCAAATTAAAAATGTTCAAGTGCATTAGAATCAATGCCATCAGCGTCAAGCAATGTTCATTCCAAAACAGTGCTGATAACCTTTTCTCAAAGCCAAGAGGATACAGAGCCTAATTTAGCTTTGATTCAGCCTGCTTTTTACGCTAATTTTGCCTCCCCTTTTGGCCTTGATTTGCAACGTGATTGCCGTGGTTTGCCAAGAGAGAGGGGAAAGGGTTCTAGCTAGAATTGTATTTAAAGTCAAGCTGGACGTCAGCTCAGCTGCCTGGGCAGGAACCTCAGCTCTGGGGGGGGTAGGACTCAGCCACCAAGCCAGCTGGAGACAACCTCCCTCCCGTGCCGGAGGAGGGACACCAGGGAGCCAAGTTTTCTCCTGTACACTGACTCGTGTACACACAGTGGATGTAACGCATGCAAAAATGTCCTTTAATATTCTCCACAGTGCTCTGTACTCTTACCATGCTTTTCATCCCCATTATAAATCGCAATGACAGATACTTAATGAATGACCGTGTTTTTTTCATGTCTTCAGATATTTCTTTCCTCATGGCCAATTAGATGTTAAATAGTAAAATTACCAGTCAATACATTCATTCAATGTAACCGGTAAATCCTTTACAGCAAAATCAAATTAAGTACGAATAGGTAATAAGAAAACTCTGGACGATGTTATTACCTGGGTTGCATGCTTTCTGATTTTTAATGTTTATACGCCTTTAAAATTTTAATGCTTATAGTGCTTATAAAGAGTCCTTGTTAGCATTCCTTAGAAGGAATGCTTTAATGAAGCTACGTAACTTAAAAACTAAAAATACTTGTTTATTACTAAGAGTTACAATGAAAAAAAAAAAAAAGCAGCTGTCAGTAATACTGCAGGCCATGTTTTCATTGCCTAAAATGCTCAGTCTGTCACGCCTGGTTTATGTTACAGTGGATTCTCAAAAAGAATTGCTGCCACAGGCAGCACAATTTAGCATTCAGAGCAGCAACATCCCCCTCATCAATTCCAAATTTTATTATGAATCCGATTTTTCTGTATTACCTCTGTGTTGTAACTAGAAACAGCTAACTGCAGACTGTATTACGGCTGTAATTCCACTGAGGGTTTCTGGCGAGAGCATAAACCAGAAGAGTTAAGATCATATGATTTAATAGGATTTCCAACAATCTGATGTAGAATTACAGGCCTCGTGTGTGCACATATATATTTATTTAATGGTGTCTTTTTTTAAGCTGTTACTTTGTTTTTCACAATAACATGAACTGCCACTAACTCAGCCAAGCTTTCGGAAGATTAATGTGCTTCTAACTTTGTCTATTTTTTAAATTCTAAATTAATTAATATGTGAATGCTTTCAAGAGAAGATTAAAGCTGGGTATTTTCTTGGGTTCTATTTTTCCTTTTCCTTTTGTCCGAGTGGCGTCAGATGCTGTACCTAATTCCAAGCTTTCATTTGAAAAGGGGAAAAAGGTTAAAGCTGGGAAAAATAATGACCCCGATTCTCTAGTGCAGCCCAGCTATTTTTGCTTAATGCTTCTTTCTGATGGAGAAATCGTCCTTTAAGCCGCTATAACTGGACGGCTGCGGGAGGGACAGATTTGGTGGTGGCCCAGCAGACTCTCCTCTTCCTCCTCCTCCTCCTCCGGCCTCTCTCCCACTGGCCAGTGACAGCCAGAGCCCAGGGGACTCATGGGGGGCTCGGACCCCTCTCAGCCCCCGGGGCAGGGACGGGGGCGGGCAGCGTGGCCGGGAGCGGGCTGGGGGATGCTCCTGGGAGTGAAAAAGCCTCTCTCCAAAGAAAAAACCAACCTAAAAGCAACAGAATCACAGAATCTTCTAGGTTGGAAAGGACCTTAAAGATCATCTTGTCCAACTGTCAACCTAACTGACAAAAATAGACACCCACACAACAAACAAGAAGCATCCATCACTAAACCATACCTCCCAGCACTACATCAACCTGTCTTTTGAACACCTCCAGGGATGGTGCCTCAACCACTTCCCTGGGCAGCCCATTCCAATGTCTGATAACCCTTTCAGTGAAAAAATTTTTCCTAATATCCAGCCTGAACCTCCCCTGGCGTAACTTGAGGCCATTTCCTCTAGTCCTGCCTGTGACTTGAGAGAAGAGACCGACCCCCACCTCTCTACCCCCTCCTTTCAGGTAGTTGTAGAGAGCAATAAGGTCTCCCCTCAGCCTCCTCTTCTCCAGGCTGAACAACCCCAGCTCCCTCAGCCTCTCCTCATAAGACTTGTGCTCCAGACCCTTCACCAGCTTCGTTGCCCTTCTCTGGACCCACTCCAGCACCTCAATGTCTTTTTTGACACAGTACTCGAGGTGGGGCCTCACCAGTGCCGAGTACAGGGGGACGATCACCTCTCACGTTGTCTCTCAGGTTCTGCCTTAAAGATTTTGCCTTTTCTGTGCCTCTTTGGTGTGTTTTTTTGTTGTTTTTTTTGGGTTTGGTTTGTTTTTTTTTAACGTGCCTCCCTTACACTACTCCAACCAGGATTTCTCTTCCCAGAAAAAGAGTTTTTACTCTTTTTCCCCGCGCATTTGGTGGCTGCTGGCACCGGCGGGACGGACCGCACCGCCGCTCCCGGCGGCAGGGGGTGTCGATGCTCGGTAGCAGCTCACGGGTGACCGCGGCAGGCCGTGGGACCGGGAATGGGGGGGGGACGGGAGATGGGCACCGTACCTTTCCTTGCGCGGCCCGCGTAGCCACGAAGCCCCAGGTGTTGTAGCGGGCGAGGAAGCGGGCGGTCCCGGCGCGTCCCGCCGCCGCCCCGCCGCCCTCCCGTCGGTAGGAGAACATCCTGGAGGGGGCGGCCCCTTGCCCCGGCCTCCTCGCCGCCGGCCCGGAGCCCAGGGCCGCATCCTCCCGGTAAGCCGAGGCCGGGTAGCTCTGCTTCCAGAGGCCGCCCGTCTCCTCCAGCAAGGCGGGGAGGGTCTCCTCGGTGGAGGAGCTGTGCAGCTCGTCGGCCGCCGGCCCCCCCTCGGGCAGGGGCCAGGACACCGAGCTGACCACCACGTAGCCCCCCGCGCCGCCCCACAGCAGGCACCACCACCATGCCGACAGCCACCACCACCCCCCCGCCGCCAGCCGCCACCGCCGCGGCCGCCCCGCCGACATCTTCTGCGGCACCGCACCGCGCCCGCAGCACCCTCCCGCGGCCGCCGCCCGCCCC